AGATAAGCCGTCTCAAGCTCCAGCAAGAAATGCAATGAGCCAATGTACATTACACAGCACATCCTAGTCAGCTCCATGACTGCGCAGAGCAATTGCTCTGTCCTGTTTTCAATTAGATCTCGGTAGATGTATACACCTTTTCCCCTGATCCATATTTTCTAGTCAGTCGCCATTGGATCTTTTAACACCCTCAGTATTCTAATCTAGGCCGGAATCTCAGGTTCAAAGGCTGTTTCTCCCAGACGCTCCACACGTGCTTATCAGTGTACCATTGCTCCTGGCCCTCGACCAACTCAAAGTCCAGCCGGTACAGGATTTTGCAGATCATCAGCCGCATCTCTGAGTACGCCAGATTCTTCCCGGCACAGTCTCGAGGTCCGTAACTGAAGGGCTTGAAAGCAGCCTTGTTATCGTTTTCGAACCTCGGATCGTACAGAGGATGCGTCTTGGAGAGCCAGCGCTGCGGACACCAGCTCTCTGCGTCAATGAAGTTACCCTTGTTTCGCATGGTCGCCACTTGGTTCACGTGAAGCAGCGTCTAGTGATGATTCATGTCAGTCTCATGATTGGTGTAGAGGCAATGGCATCGAGCGATTAGGAGGAACTCACACCGCGAGGGACCCATTTGCCTTCAAACATGGCCCCAGGAGACTGACGAGGTGGTGTCTCGACGACAGTGGGAAAACAACGCAGCGTCTCATCTATGCTTGCCCTTAGGTATGGTAGGTGCTGCGTGTTGACTAAGTTGATTTCCGATTCAGACTTGTACGCAGACCGAATCTCTTCAATCAACGGTTCCAATGCCGCTGGCGACATGCCGGCAAAGAAGAAAAAGCCGCTTACAGCCGACGCTGTCGTCTCGCTGCCGGCACCGATCAGCAACCCGCTGTTCATCATGATTTCCTGCTCCGAGAAGCCCGGCTTTCCGTCGCGCGTCTCCCGCATCATGTACGTCATGAAATCGCGCCGGCCGTCTTTGGGCTCGGCGCCCATAGCCATTCGCGCTTTCACCTTCGAGTCGCCCAGCTTCATGTTTTCCATCATGGTAGAGATGGCGGTCCAGATCTCACGCCACCCCACGAATACCAGGAAGAACGGTGTGAGGTGCGGCTTCGCCAGGATCATTCGGCTATACGCAAAGCCACGGATGGCCCTGAAGAAGCCCGAAACATATGGGTGAAAGCTGCTATCATCGAGGTTGTGGAATGACTCGGCGAAGGTCAGATCTCCAATTACATCAAACGTGGTGTAGTTGAGCCAGGTCACAATGTCCACGGCACCCGACGCTTGCTCAAGGTGATCGACTAGCTTCTCAACGTAGCGACTGATGATGCCCTCCTGCTCCTTAAGCGCAGCGTCACTGAAGGCATGGTTCAGCTGGCGCCGCATACGGCGATGCTCGTCCCGCGGCGCGGCAACAATTGTCTTGTAGTCGCCTGGAAACAGCTGGTTCGGCACTTTGGCGAACTCATCCATGCCGTGCACCGTGGCGTTGAGTGAGAAGACTTGCGTCCAGGCTATACTGCCGTCCACCATCAGGCGGTCCGGCCCGAGGCGCACAATGTTGCCGTACTCCCGTTGAAGACCCGGAGCCTCACGAGTGTAGGTGCCCCTGACGTTTGTGCGCCACAGCCAGAAGAGATCCGACGCTCCCCACCACTTGGGGCCTGGATATCTGGAAAGGGGATGGAACCATAGCCGGTAGATGGTCACAACAACCCGGTGAATGACGATCTACGTGAGCGAGGGTGTCAGCAAGGCCACACCACCGTAGATGCAATTGTGCCACACCAACGATAAGGCAAAAGAACTTTGGTACTCATCCACCCACCAGAAATGTCAGCACCCCCAACACAAGTTGAATCTGGCCTGTCGGCGTGTATTGCAGTGGCGCGAGAAGGCTCGCCCATGTCTTGGAAAGGATCATTGTTTACCGTCGATAAGGGATCACAATTACGGGAGGCTGTAAGCATGAGCACACCAACGGCAGAAACGGCACTGGCCGGCTGTTTGCCGCCCCTTGAACATTGGTCTCGGGGTTTTATATGGACTGTTCCCCTTTTGAACCCTTCTTTCGAAACAAGGTACGGCAGCGGCGCCACTCCCGTGCCGTGCATGATCCTCCCAGTCAAGTCATCAGATTCCCGTTCCCTTTTGGGGTATTTCAAAGGTGAGACACTGCATTTGTACAATTCATCCGAAGCCGACGGCTAAACCATTGTGATGTGCGTCTTACCGGTATCAAATGTCGCATGTACCTATCTGGCGAGCGTACATGCATGTCGTATCCGAGGCCAATGATAAAAGACCCGACACATGCTGACCGCAATGTAACATCGGCTGCTTTGGTTGGATTTGTAACTCGGCCTAATCCATCAAGACGCCAAGACTTTGGAAACAATGTTTCGATTTTCATTCTCTTGTCGTAAGCTCTTAAGCGGGCTCTGTTAGCCTCTGGGATGGATAGACGTAATACAGGCAAGAGAGGTGTTTTACTCTCGAATCACGTTACACCGAAGTCCGATTGCCCATGATGGAGATCGTGTTGGACCTACTTGCTCAAGCCCGCGGCAACACCTACGTGACTGTTACCGTCGCTGTATTGTCTCTGGTTATCTTCTTCTACTTCAACTACAGCACTCAGCCGTTCCGAGGTATTCCTTATGTCGGGGGTCCAAAATGGGACATTCTCAATATCAAGGCACAATATCGTTTCGTGACGGACTGTAAGAATCTCATCAAAGAGGGTCTCCAAAAGGTGAGGGATGGTTCATTTCACACCTACTTTAAGTACCTTACTTGAAAGGGGAACTTTCATGGCTAACAGCGTCGCGCTCATGTAGTACAATGGACCTTTCCAGGTCATTGGCTACGTACCAATCACCGTCTTGCCCCCGAGATATGTCCCACTTATCAAGGACCACCCGAACCTGGATTTCGGAAAGTCTGCCGAGAGAGTATGTCTCGAATCTCTCATGTTGTTTCAATTAGACTTTCCCTCTCTGGATCTACATGCCACAATGAGAATGATCATCTTCAAGGATCTAACCAACAAGCATAGAGGCTATTTGGGCAATACCCAGGCCTAGACTGGGCGCATAAGATCAATGAGGACCGTATCTTCCAGGAATCTCTGAGGATTAACATGACACAATATCTCAGTGAGTCTTTTCCATAATGCCGCTTTCCCTCTCTTACTCGTCATTAACATGTGACGCTTTCTCCAAATCCTAGGCGAGGCCACACCTCTTCTAGCAGAAGAAGCACGCGAAATTCTCAGCGAATTCTTCCCGCAGACGACCGGTAAGCTCGATCCGTTTCTCTCTATTCATTTGCTGTAGCTAAGCCCCTCACAAGAATGGACGTCATACACCTTTGGCAAAGACGCCGCAGAAATGGGCGTGCGCCTCTCAACCCTCGTCTTCCTCGGCAAGAGATTCACAAAGAACAAGGAGTGGCTCTACATCTGCACGCAATACCCGCAAGGCATCTTCGGTGCCATCGGCGGGCTACTCTCCACGCCCAAATTCCTCCGCCCCGTTCTCTACCACTTCCTGCCCCAGATCATCGCCCTCAAAAAATACGGCGAGGTCGCCAGGACGCTCATCCTCCCCGAGATTGAGGAGCGGCGGCGGCTGCGTGATGCCGGTGCTGATGTCAAGTTTAATGACGCGCTGGAGTGGTATTACAAGAACTCGTCTAAGCGCGGTAAGGAGGAGGACTTTGATGCCGTGAGCGCCATGATCTCGCTTGCGTTTGCGTCCACGCATACGACTGTTGATTTGCTGTGTAATGTTCTGTATGACCTGGCGGCTCACCCTGAGTGCATCGGTCCGATGAGGGAGGAGATTGACAAGGTTCTCGCCGAGGACGGGGGCTGGAAGAAGACGACGTTGTATAAGATGAGGTTGATGGACAGTTTCTTGAAGGAGACACAACGGATGAACCCCGTGCAGCTGAGTACGAACTACCCTAAACTGCAGCTCGATGATTTCGCCAGACAAAATCCTTGACTCACTAACACATTATCCCACGCAGCCGCGATGAACCGCTACGTCAAACAAACAACCATCCTCTCAGACGGCACCCGTCTACCGAAGGGCTCACTCCTCGCCGTCTCGCTCGAAGGTCTTCGTGATGCCGCGCAATTCGCGAAACCAGACGTCTTTGACGGCTTTCGCTTCGCGCGCAAGAGACAGGAGCCGGGGCAGGAGAACCAGTGGCAGTTCACGTCGACGCGCAACGAGTTCCCTTCGTTCGGGCATGGCCAGTGGTCCTGCCCCGGTAGGTTCCTCGTCGCCAACGAGCTCAAGATCTTTTTGGCGGAGCTGCTATTACGGTATGACATCGGCTATCCGGTGGGCGTGACGCGGCCGCCGTGTACGTGGTTTGCTACGGAGAGTCAGGTGAATATGGATACGCCGCTGGTGTTTAGGTTGAGAGAGAAGGCGTGATGGCTTTCTGGATGCAATCAGGATTCTGATGAGCTTCCACGAGCCCTCTTTATGCACGGCTGCGTATTAATGGATTCAGTGTTTGGTTTTTCTTTGGTCTTACTTGCGGAGGCTTATGTTGCTGAACCAAAGTTTAGGTAGGATGAAGCACTGAAATGACGATCAATAAAGTGAAGACTCATAATTCTGTACTTTCTTAAATATCATGATGGCTTCAACTATCCGTGGCCTTACCGCATGCCACGTAACCTTAGTTCCGTAATTATCAAGGTCTTTACTCCCTTACGCCTTCTATCTCGGGGCGAGATTCGCGCTCACTTCTTACTTTTGATAGATAACCCTTCTCTATATTCTACGTCGATCCCTGTATTACATATTATGCTAGGAGTCAGCGACTCAGCGTGGGGCGATGATTGCGATCCCTGTCCCAGATTGGCCGTTTCTTGGGCTATTCCAAGTGATGCGTCAGATATGAACAAAGTAGGTGTTCGTGAGCTCACTAAGTATATTCAACTTGTGCTATACTACCACTAAACCATGTCTCTACTAGACCTGTTCAAGCAGCGCAAAATTGCTGACTTCAATTCCTGTGATATGACCATCGCAGTTGAGCTGATAGGTCAATGACATACGCACGAGAGGGCCAGTGCCTCTTGAAACCGGACCGAGTCGCCCGTTGAAATTCTCCGTCCTGAAATCTCCAAGGCCTCTGAATTGGACGTGGTAATTCACGTGAACCTGCGTTCCTGATGGTTCGATAATGATGTCTTGGGGAATAAGCTCCTCCGAGACCATAGTGTGCATAGCCTTGAGCCAAGCGATATACCCAGTCAAAGACTTGTCCTCAAGCGCAGGAATGTTGAGCTGAGACAAAAAAGGCGGCAAGTGTCAGTGAAGGTACAAAGGAGGTCGGCTTCTGTACATGTGTAACGATATCGCATGTACTTACAATCGCATCTTTCGCATAGTAGCCACTGAAACGAGCAAAATCGTCAGCATTGAAGCCTGCGACGTAGTCCTCTACGGCGGCTCTAGTGGTAAGCTTTTTGGTAGCTGGCTGAATGTCATTCATCTTGAATCGACCGGAGTGAAAGGAGAGAAAAAGCTTTGTATAATAGATCGGAACCAGCTTATTTTCGAGATGAGGATGGATATCGAATAGGCTGTCACTTGTTCTGGATCTGGGAGCCCTCTTATCTTATGTTCAATTCTGTGTTCTGTGTGAGTTCAATGCTTAACTAAGCACGCTCTACTCCCTATACAATGTACTTTGTCTAGGCTGTCACTTGCAATCTGGATGGTTGAAGTCTATTCTCAGGGGCCATGTGATTTGCAACAAAATGGATGAGGTAACGTCACGGCCTAGACGGGCAGTGGACTTGGCGAAGATGCGGAAAAGATGATTTCTAAGTTGACAATTTAGATTTGGTGTTAGCTCCCACGTGTGCCGCGGGTTCCATGCCTCCCGTGGGTCCTGCCTGACTAGCTGGTCAAGTTCGAGGCAGCAAGCGTGCGTATTCCGCTGAATGGGCATTGACCACTCATGCCTTAGCGGACTACTCGGCGGACTATTTCGCTCGACGTTCCCAGAATGCCGAGCAAGCTGAAAAGTTGTTGATCTTGCCGAGTCTTACTTTCAATCATTATCTGGAAGCTTACAACCCAACCCATGGGCCCCGCACATGGAGAGCATGGGTTATTGGCCAAACTCCGCAGTCTAGGTAAAGCAGCGGACAAAACATACCGAGACCGAGCAGGAAGAGTTCAATACCTGCGATGTCATTTGGTCGCTAAACGCCTTTGAGAGGGATTTGGTTCTGCTGTGAAAATGGTCCACCGCTGCGGAGGGTGGAGATGAGAGCCGTGCATCCTCAGCGCGCCAATTTTATCTGTCCCACGATGTAGTTCTTGATTGATAATCTGCTTGAGAATATTGAAGTGATTGGAGAGACTTAAATTGTCATTCTTGCCGTGCTTCTTGAGATATTTCATCCAACACATTTTCACTTCGCAATACTTCTTTCACGAAGCCTCAGAAATACAAGCACGATACACAACAAGCTTATTATTCATCTCATCATGGTAGCCCAACGATTACTCATTACAGGCAGCGCAGGCTATATGTAAGTCCGCCACACACCCCCTGCCACTCATTCTGACATGCGTTCAAGTGGCGGCACTGTACTGGCCCAGCTCCTAAAGTCGACCTTCTCCAATGTCCAAGCTTTGTCGGTGAGTGCACTTGTTCGTCACCAAGACCAAGCCGACTTGCTGGCGCAAAAAGGCGTCATTCCAATTCTCTTCGAGAGTTTGGATGAGACCGATGTCCTCCGGAAGCTTGCAAGTGAGCATGACGCAGTCATCCATGTCGTAGATGGCCTGCATCATGGCTCAGCCGAGGCTTTCATTCAAGGTCTGAGCGAAAGGAAGAAGACAACAGGAAAGGCAGGCATATACATTCATGCAAGTCTCCGAGAACCATAAGGTTCCTGTCCTTTGAGGAACGAATTCTAGCTGACAAACTTAGACCTCTGGCGCTAGCAACGTCGCCGAGTTTCCCATCTCGAAGCAGTATCGTGGAACCCACGTTTTTTCCGACAAAGAAGATATATTGAGCTATGAGAAGTCTCGCGACATTGAAGAGCCTTATATCAACCGAACCATCGACTTGATGGTTGCTGAGCGTGGAAAAGGATTGGGAGTAGAGACATATTCCATTTCGCCACCCCTGGTATTCGGTCTCGGGACAGGATAAGTCAAACCCCCCACTTCCCGGCACCCCCCTGTTTCTGGCACCCACAAAAACGCGAAAATCCACCACAACGCAATGCCCACCCCCAACCTCCTTTTATCACAACATTTTCAATTCGAGTCCAAATGGGCTCATTTTTTGCACATACCTTCTTCTATATCTAATGCCTCAATATACCGAAGATCAGCTTCGTCAGGCTCTCGAGGACATCTCAAACGGCAAGAGTCAAAAGAGAGCCTCATTGGAGTATGGGATACCACGATCAACCCTCCAACTACGTCTCCAAGGTGGTCAGACTAGGAAAGTGGCTTTGCTGACTGGCAGAGGCTGTCTCCTGACCAGGAGAAAGCTGGCACAATGGGTTCGCATTCAGGCTTCGCTGGGCCTCGCACCAACGCACCAACAGGTGAAGGAATTCGCAGAGCGAGTTCTGGCTGCTGCTGGGGATACCAAACCATTAGGAAAAGGCTGGATCTATGCCTTCGTGAGAAGGAACCCTATCATTAAGGTTCAGAGAAGTCGTTCCATCGATTCTAGACGCGTTAATGGGGCATCTACTGAGGTCATTAGGAACTGGTTTAAGTTCCTTGCTATCCCTGAGATCAAGGACATCAAACCAGCCAACAGATATAATATGGATGAGACTGGCATCCTCGAGGGTCAGGAGCTAATGGGTTAGTGCTGGGCATGGCTGAGACGACGTCTGTTCGCAAGAAACAACCTGGGTCGAGGGCATGGGTCTCTATCATTGAGTGTATCTCAGCCTTGGGTAGGGCACTTCGTCCTCTTATCATTTTCAAGGAAGACGGTCCAACAACAGTGGTTTCCATTACATCTGGTTCCATACGATGGGTGGGAGTTTACAGCAACAGATAATGGCTGGACTACAGACTTAACTGCCATTGAATGGTTAGAGAAGGTGTTTATCCCACAGACTATGCCGAGGCTGAGGGCGAGGCTCGACTGTTGATTGTGGATGGGCATGGGAGTCATACGACGACAGACTTCATGTGGAATTGCTATATTAACAATATCCATTTACTGTTCTTACCACCACACTCCTCTCATGTCCTCCAGCCACTTGACCAGTCTGTCTTCAGCCCTGTTAAGTCAGCCTATCGGAAGGAGCTCGGTTACTTGTCTCAATGGAACGACTCTACCATTATAGGTAAAAGGAACTTCCTGGACTGTTACCAGAAGGCTCGACTTGCTGGTCTATCAGTCTCGAACATCAGAAGTGGTTGGAAGTGGACTGGTCTACACCCTGTAGCGATGGTTAAGCCCTGATGAACCCTATGGTATTACCTGAGCCTTCTGCTAAGCCCACCACACCCAAACCAACCAGTCGGGGCAAAAAGCGATGCCATAATGGTCAACAAACTACCCCTGTTGAGCCATGGGATTCTGCTTCCTCTGCAGTGGTCTGGTCGACACCCAGGAAGCTGGCAGAGCTCAGCGGTCAACTGCACTTATACACCCAACTCGACAATGATACCAGCACTCAACGGCTGCTGTTCAGGAAGGTGAAAAAAGGCTTCACAGAGCAGGCCTGGCAACTGGCAGCTGCCCAGCAGCAGCTGGCTCACCTGAGGGCTCAAGTTACCAACGCTGCAGTTAGGAAGAGAAGACTGTTCAGATCGATCCCAACACGAAGTTTGCGAACATCAGGGATATCCATCGGGCTCAAATCGAAGCGGGTGAAAAGGAGGTTATTACGGCTGAATCCAGCGACTCTGAATGCCCTAGTGAGGCTGGCAGTTGTATTGTAGTGGGTGTGGTTGAGGATCAATAGTTAATAGTAATGAGGAGGTTGGGTTGTGATCCCATCGTTTTTGTGGGTGCCAGAAACAGGGGGGTGCCAGGAAGTGGGGGGTTTGACTTATTTCAAGACGCTTTCTGGTGGCCAGCTGCCGATGCTAATGCGCTCGGCCCTTGCAAACGGCCACGCTCAGTATGTTGGCGAAGGAGCAGGAAGATGGAGTCATGTTCATGTCCAGGACTTGGCTGCGCTGTACGAGGTCATCCTCGCTAAGGCTCTATCGGGAGAGATTCCTTCGAACGACCGACGTATTTTCTTCGCTGAGACCGGAAGCAGTAGCTTCCTGCAAACGGCTAAGGCAATTGGCAAAGCTGGTTTTGCACTTGGCGCTTTGGCATCGGCCGAGCCAGTCTCCACCTCGCTGGAGAAAGTTGCGCAGGAAATTTTCCATGGACAAGCACAGTGGGCGGAAATCGTCATTGCGTCCGAGGCACTGGTCTCCGCCGAGCTCTCACGAGAATGCGGCTGGAAGCCCATCAAGTCAGAGAAAGATTGGGAGGCTACGTTTGAGGAGGAGTTTCGATTGGTCATTGACGTCGTTGCCCATCAGGGATGATGAGTCGTGGAAACTTTGTGAATAATAGAGCAAAGATTTCTATTCGAGTTATAACCCTTAATCTTTTCTTATTTAGTCATTTGAATAATTAGATTTCAAGTCGTTTCGATTTTAGAAGCAAACTATGTTATCAAGATTTTATTACAGATACTCCATTTTGTTGGAGGGGGAGTCGTATATTGAAGCGCCACATCTCAACTGTATTTCGAATTTCCGTCTTGAAATGTTTGAATTGTTTGTCAATCTGAATGCATAGACTCGAGTGTCTGCGCTCGGTGAACTTTCAATCATCGCTCCTGCTGATATTATTCCGATATTAACCTTATGTATGCTACCAAAGTACTTTATGTAACTTCCCGATAAGTGAACGCAGCACTCGTATACCTATTAGATCGACGAGATTACTGGCGAAAAACTATCATGAAGCAAGTGAAGTGAGAGGACGTTTCATTGTCAAATCAGGTCTTGTCACATCACCTTGTCAACATGATCTTGGCCGAGATATGGGTGATGCGAACTTGCAGTGGAGTGAGAAAACCACATGTACCCCCAGCCAATCTTATAGGTGTTTCTGAGCTCTAAAGAAGCCTTTTGAGCTTTTCATCGTGCCACCAACTTTGCTTTCCATACTAAGGTATCCACCAAACATAAGCTCTAGCCGTCGGCCCTCGTCACCCACCCCCAGACCTGAATCGCTTCAACTAAAATTCAACAAAAAACATACAACACCAGGTATTCGTTGATCGTCACCGACTCAACTACTAATCCGGCCCTCACTGGTATCTTCTAGATGGAGCGCATACCGCTTTTATCGTGATGGTTTTAATAACCTGAACTGGAGGTCGTTGCTCCTCGTTACGGATAAGACAGAAGATAGAACACCCGACTCCTTCCGTCTTAGACGGTGGGCGATTAACCACGAGCGCCAGGCTGACGTTGGATTCGCAAAACACACCACAGGGGTATCATTATACCGATACAAAGTTCCCCGCAGCTACAGGTCAGGTTCAGTCCCTCCGAATCAAAAACGTCTGGCGCAGCGCAGGCTTGATGCCCAAGCGCTCAGGCCTTCAAACATTGCAGCTGACCATATGGCAAGATTCTGCAAACCGCCTCTTGTCGGCTCTGCTTCCCCGATTGGAGAGGAGCTGGGCCGCAGGAAGGCCAGGGCTGTATGACCAATCGATGGCTGCTGCATGAATCTAGGGGCTAATAATTGGCTAAGGAAATCAGTGGTACATCCTTCATATAACAATTCCAACCGGCACCATATAGTAACCCTTCTTTGCGACCTGGATATAACCACTGGGATCCCGTTCTAAACTGGACTCCCGATAGGCGGTCATTCATGGCTAGTCCACAAGATCGAAAGAGGCGTCGCTCCGACGAGCACTCGCAATAAGATGGCTCGATCAACGGCCGAAAGAGGCCGTGTACCGACAAGCCTTTTCGAGACGGCCGTCAGGTCAAAAGACCCAGGCCGGCGTCCGAGGATCTCAAGTCTTGACAGTATCCGCCCGAGTTTTGGGATCAGATTGTCGAAGATCCCGGTCATCTGAAGCGCTCATAAGAACACCACAGGCGCACTCTCAGTCGCTGTTCCTACCTTCCCCCTAGACACGCTCACACAAGACGTCATGCCCACGATCGCTAGCGACTTAGCTCAGTTTGCACGGCACATTGGCCCCGATTTACAAGACCTTCAAGGATACACTGACACTATAACCACTCTCCCATCCGCCGCCGCCGCCATGAGCTGCCCCTCGTGAAGCCGAGCGACAGGGCCCTACCAATCCCACGACCCTGCAAGCACCCTCAAGCATGACTACAGGCAGAAAGTCGACAACCTCCTATTTCCGTGGCTTCGAACAGCATCTGACCGATCGTGCTGTCCATCCGATATGGAGATCACGGAAGTCAGAATTGAAAGACGCGAGAGCGGCCCCCGTAGTCCCGAAGCGGTCACTCTTGCCGCCCAACTTCTCCGACGGCGCGTTCGAGATTTCCAACAAAGCAGCCCTCAGCAGACAAAGGGCGAGGAAAATGTTGGACAAAACGTCCTCTCAATAACTTCAATCCCTCCACTCTTTACTACGCCTCGTTTGATCGGTCCTCACCCACAAGCCTTCACTGAGCTTGCACATTCCGTGCTCCACCACGTCACAGCGCCAACACAAGATGCGGACGCAGAAGAGTAGTCCCCAGTAGCTCTTAGATTGAGAATCAAGGCTGAAGATTAGATTTTAATACAGAACAACGTAGCCAAGCTCTAAGGCAAGTCGGTAGCCTAGGAATGTGTCTTATCCCATATATTAAACAATAATCTAGTCGCCTCGCTAAATAAGAAGCAGTCTTATAACTTCTTTACTATTTATCTAATTTCTTACTATAGCTTTTATAACCCTATTAATTATAGTAATCTAGTTACCTCGTTAGTTAAGAAATAATTTTATAATTTCTTTATTACTTTATTAGTTTTTATTATAGCTTTTATTATTTCTTTAATAATGAAAATCTTATTACTTTATTAATTAAGAAATAATATTATAACTTTTATTATTTTACTCGTTTTTATTATAATATTACGTAGCTAGTCGTAATAAGTATATTAATAAAAATTAAAACTATAAATACTAAGTAAATAATATCGTAATTATAAATAACTTCCCTAAAGCTATATTTATAAATTATAAAATAAGTAAAGTTTTAGTAATTAATTATAATTTTATTAAAAGGTTTTTAATAAAAATAATTAAAAGCGATTATAAAATCTAATACTAAGTTAATTATTAAAAAGCTATAAAAGTCTACTCTAAGCCCGGCTTAAGTCTACTATATATAAATCTTATTTTTTAACTAAATAAAATTAAAATAATCTTTTATTTAAATATATTAAATATTTAATATATTTTATATATCCTAATTTAGTTAAATATTTTATATATTTAAATTTAAAATATTTTTATTTTTATTACTATATAACTTATATTATAGTTCTTTTATTTTTAAGTTTTTTAATATTCTATTTTATTTTATATATATAATATATTATAGCCGCTAGGTATTAATAAAATATACCTTAGTTTTATATTAAGTTATAATATTAGCTTCTCTTTTAAAAAATCTTATTTTTAAAACTAATATAAGTAATAAGTTATTCTTAAATTAGGAATTTATAAGTTTTACTCCTAATTTATACTAATTTATAATATTAAATTATATTTTAAAAAAAACTAACTTATTATTTAAAGCTTATTTTTAAAAAAACTAAATAATAAATTTTTTTAAGTTTTATTTTAAATAATTAAGTCGTTATATTTACTTATTTTATTTATAAAATACGTAGTTTTTTATATAAGGCCTCGTTATTAAATTCTTTATAATATACTAAATACGTTCGTAGCAGAAAGTTTTATTATAATTTTTGGGTCTATTTATTTAATAACTTCGTTAAATTAATAATTAATATTAAAAACTAAAGGATACTTTAAAATAAGCTAAAGAGGAGTATCGTATTCTAAATATTAAAATGAAGCGTTTTTAAAAATAAAAAAATATAATTTAGAAAAATAATACGTATAGTATATTATAATATTAATAATATAAAAGAGCTAGAGCGTATTAAAAAGAAATAAAAATAGAGTAGTACTAATGGGGCCTACCCTTTTATTAATTCTAATTATTTTCTCAAAATTTTATTAAAAAGTAGAATATAATTTATTTTAATATTATTTTATTTTTATTTTTATTAGCTAACTTTAATTTATTAAATATAAGTATATTAATTAGGAATTATAATATAATTAGAGCGACCTAGGAATATTAAAGGTTTATAATTAGTTTTATATATTCTTTTCGTATTTATTATTTTTATTTTATAAAGTATTTATAACTACTATTCTTAATTTTATAATTAATAATTCGTTTAATTTTATATTTTAATTCGTTTAGTTTTATAATAATACGGCTTTTTATATAAACTTTTAAGTACTAATTCAAAAATAAAATATAAAAACTAAATAATATTTTATTATATTTAGGAGTCTTAACTTATAGTTAATATTTAAAACTTTTAAATAATTTTAAAAGTTTGAGTTTTTATAATTTAATTTATTATTTAGTCGTTTTATTTTAATTTTATTTTAATATTATAATAAAAGAAATAAGTACTATTTCCTTTTTTAAAATTAGTCCTCTAATCTTTAATCTATCCGCATTTTCTTTATATATTAATATATAAACTTAAAATTTAAAAATATTTTTTTAAAGTTTTTAAATTTTATTACGCTTATTATTACCTAATAGTTTATAATCCTTATTATACTTCTTTATATATTATTAATTAATATCCGTAATTTAAAAAAACAGGATTTTCTTATACTTTTACTAATTATATTATTATATATAAATTAGGCTATTAATAATAATATTACCTAGTTATTCTAATCATAATTTATATAATAATAAAGATAAATTTCGAAAATCTAATTAATTCTTTTTATTTAACTATTAGTTTATAAATAAAAAGAAATTAATAGTTTATAATTTATACTAAATTATAAAATTAAGGATTTTTAAAATTTTAAAATAAATAAAGAGCCTCTATTAAAAATAATCTTTTTAGTATATTATAATTAATAATAATAACTTTAAAAACGTATATACTAACTCCTCTATACTATTAACTTCTTTATAAAATATAAAATAAACGAACTTAATAAATTAGTTAACTATAACTAAGATATTATCGTACTATATATTTATAAATAATTCTTTAAACTTTAATAATTTAATAATAAAGTCCTATAAAATTGATTATTATACTTCTATAAATAATTATAATAATTATAACTCGCTATAAAGCTTATATAAACTATTCTTATTTTTTTATAAATCGCGTAATCCTTAATTACTTTTATAATTTTAATATATATAATAGATTTATTATAATATTAATAAATCCGTTTTTATATTTTAATAACTTTTTAATAACTATATAC